AAAAAGAATATTGCTATGAATGTGCTAAAATATTTTATAAAGCTTTTAATGTGGTTTGACTAGTTCGTGTTTCTTGTTTGTTTGTCTCTCAGAAAAAAATAATCTCACTCCAAATCTGCTAAAATATAAAGCAACAACACACAGCAGCGTGTTCATGGAGGCAGCCATGTTTGTTCCGAGATGCGGTAGCTTGAACGGGAGATTGTCGGACGTGATGTCACTCAACACGGAATTCCGAGAGAAAAACGAACGCACCATTAGATAACTGCCTCGACAAACATTCACATATACATCTGAATCCTTGCTGAAGCGTGTCGTCGTGTTCTCTCTTTCACGCTCGTCACAGTATGTATAGCTTAGATCTATCTCGTTTGATTTTGTGTTAAACAGACTTTTTCGTTTCAATTCAAAATTCATGTAGGCCTAGCGCTTGTTACGTTGAGAGGTGCATACAAAAAATAATTGTTTGTAATTTATCACAGGTACAGGCGGGTAATGGGCGGAATGTTAACGGGCTCGGGCAGGTGCGGATTTAACTTTGAAATAATTACGGGAGCACGGGCGGGTGTGGTGCTGTACTGTGCGGGTGCGGGTGGGTGCAGGTCTCCAAAAGTGGACCCGTGCAGGACTCTGTCCCCCGATTCTCTAGACTCCTGCTCCTGTTTCCTCGCTCCGTGCCTGCGATACGTGACAGCAATGCATTGAAGCCTTGCCTATGCTGACATTGCCCTGCTTACTAGCAACTATGCGCATGCATCTTCGGAAGGAAAAAGCGTACATTCTATATATTATTCGTTATTAGTAGTGCATTCCTGTACTTGAAAATTTCCAACCCCCAAAAAGTACCATAGAACAGCTGAAGGGCATGGAGTTGTAATGCAAATTTACGCGAGAAAATGCTAATTATGCTGGTGTTTGATACTTGCATAATATGGCAATTCACACAGATGTGCTAGTGGAAATTAGCACACAATAAAAAAATAATAATTGCACATAGTAAATCATGAAGCACATTGTGTGAACAGCAAATAAGCGACTCTTCAGTTTTACGTCACTGTCGCTCACCAAACTCGGTAATGCCTTAAAGTTGATCCTTCTGCAGTCGAAAACCAAAGCAAGCTGGAACCGTGCTGTAACTAGTCTCTTTTTGCGGCACGGCTCGGGTACAGGTCAGTTCCTGTATGCCGGGGGAAAAGCACCATTAGTGCTATTGCTTTCCTTTTGGTGTGATTTGAACAGGTCCAGAGCTTCACCTATACAATGTGGCTGCAAAGTATTAATGAGATCTGTCAAATACATTTAGAGTTACTGTGCTCACAGTAACAGCCTACATTTCCTTCCTTTGCTGTGACATAGCGCTATGGCTTCATTTCTGGTGCAGTTTGAAAATTAAATCAGGTGTATATCTACATCCGTATAATGTTTTTTGTGAAGCACTAATAAGATCCATCAAATATGTCTTGACATTCACAAGGTCAAATTTCATCTACAATCACTCTTCTCTTTGCTGCTACTTTGCTTGAATTTTATGGTGATCTGCTTCCAAAATTTATTCAGTTCCAGTTCATCACCCACATAATGGGCCTGCAATTTGAAAAAGATACATCAAATATTTTTTGAGTTATCCTGTTTGCGGCAGCGACAGGTAGATCCCAAAACCATGTTTTCGCCATCCAAGGAATACAAAGAGAATTGAAATCTGACATAAGAAACAGGAGACCATGTTCAACAAAAAAGGAGACTTTCAAAGAGCTGCCGCCTCCATCCCTTCTGTAGCCCCCCCAGTTGCCGCCCCCCCTCCTACCTGTCCATGAGCCTCCGGAGAGCCCGCTCGATATTCATACGGTGGCCAACACGGGTCACGCCCAAGTCCAGGTAGTCTTCCTTGGTCAGGGAGGGCAGGTGCGTGCCATCAATCTCGTTGTCCAGGAAACGCTCCCTGTGCTCCCCCAGGTTCAGGTAAGCTAGCCAATCAGCCACATCATACTTGGTCCAATAGGGGAGGGGCTTCGAGGTGAATGGCTTGGATGGTGGTGGGGGGGGCAGGTGCGGGTAGCTGAGGCATGTTGGGGGTGGCAAGGGGTGCAGGGGTGGAGAAGAACTCCCAGAGAGAAAGTGAGTGGGGGAGAGGGAACGGGACACAACCAGCGAGGAGTTGGGAGGTGGGGGGGCACCACTGGTGGCAAACAGGGGAGGGGAGGGGGAGAAGTAGGGGTCCCCCAGGGGGTTGGCTGGGGATGGTGGGGAGACGGAACCGCGTAAGTCATACAGGCTGCCATACAGGGGTGCAGTGGACAGTATTGGCAGGGATGAGGGCCGGGGGGGACCGAGCTTAGGCCGGTCTGGGGGGGAGATCAGGGGGCTTGGGGCCCGGCGCCGCTGACTCTGGGCCTCCTGCCGCCGAGATTCCCGGTTAGGAAGGAACTGGAATTCCAGGGCTTTGCTGTGGTATACAGGTCTGCGCTGTGGTGAGGTGGGATATGGGGAGTGGGCTGGGGGAGCAGTCACAGAGGGGGACTGGGGCAATTGGGAATGGGTCCAGCCAGGGTACAGTGGGGGCTGAGAGGATGGAGCGGAGGATGGGGCTGGCTGGTTGGGCGGTACTGGGGATGGAGAGGGAGAGCGTGGGATGGGGGGGCTCAGGGCACCAGTGGAGTCTTCTGAGAACCTGAGAGGGAGAAGGGATGCGATTAGGGTTAGGTCTGATTAGGATTAGGTCAGGTTAGGGTTAGGGTTAGGTCAGGTTAGGGTTTCTCCTGTTTCCTTGGCCCCCTTGTGGTTTTTTTGGCTCAGTGTTCTCTATATCATTGTTTTGTTTCAGTCTCCCTCTCCCAGAGACCACCAGACTACAGTCAGCTATAATCAGCTTGTTTAATTAGTCATGTGCTCACACCTGTTCCTCATTACAAACTCATTATATAAGGCTTTGTTTCCCAGTACCTAGTTGACAGACTGTCTGGTAGAATTGCCAAACTCTCTTGCAGATATTGCTATGCATTTCCAGTTCAATGTTTGACCTCTGACTCTCGCTTATTCTGATTTTTGCATAACAATTTAGATACATTTGCTGGTGTTTGTTTGCCTACCCATGTACTGAACTTTTGCATGCCTACTGACATCTGTCCTCTGCCTGTTTCAGTACCAAGGCCATGTTGGAAGACATTAGTGTGCTGATTCTTAGAATATTGCTCAAATTTCCCTTTGCCATTCCCACGTACTGTGACATCTATCTTTTTGGCCCTGGCAATAAACCATATGTATCCTACCTCAGTCTCAGTATGCATGTGGGTCTGACCTCATGCCCCGTGACAAGGGTTAGGGTTGGGGTTACGTTCAGGGTTAGTAGCCGGCAAGAAGGCAGAAACCGGGAGAGGGACAAGCAGTGGGAGCCAAGGGGGAAGCAGGGGGCACTGAGACCAAGTGGGACACAGGGAAAGAGGAAGTACAGGTTACCTGTATCTTGTTAAGCAGATAGGTGACAGTGGTGCATATTGGGACAATAAAAAGAGAGGGAGACTTTTAAAGACAGCTTCAGTCATGGCCATGCAGTCATATGCAGCACCCACTCACAGGAGACCAACATGCCATATGCTGCATGGCATTATGGGTAACAGGGCTCACCTGTGCCGGCTCAAAGAGTGGTGGCTCCCCCATGTTTCAGAGCCCTTAGAGCCCATCTGCTGCAGCTTGCTGTTCAGCTCGTTGATAATGCTGGCCTTCATGCCGGGCAGGGGCGGGTGTATCTTCCTGCCCTCCAGGTATGGGCTCCCTACCTGAGTAGCGCCTTCTGCTGGTTGACTGGGGCCAATGGGGCCCTCTGCCCAGTGGGGCTTCACCTCTGGGGTGCGCACCCGCTCCAGATAGAGTGTTCCTGGGCGGCTCAGGCTCTGAGTGGCCCTGACGCTGAAGCCGTCATGAGCGATTTCACTTTCATCAGCCCGTTCCCTGCTCTCCTGCTCCTCCTCTTCCTCCCGCTGTCTCTGAGAGTGGAGGGAACCCTGGAGTGCAGACGGCGTGCTGGTGGACTGCCTGCGGATCTCCACGCCTGGCCGGCCCCCCTCCCTGTAGCGTTGTGATTTGGGGTATGTGGAGGTGGCAGCTGTTTTGCTGTTGTGTATCTCGTATGTCTGTCCATCTAGGTAGGTCATGTAGGAGTCCAAAAGGTCCGCCCCCCTGTCGGGGCGGTCTGCCCGGTCACGCTCACCCCTCACACTGCCCAGCCCCAGGATGCTGTCCAGGTGGTGGTCACTGCTGCTGCGACTGTCTAGCTCCTCTATCCCAGAATCCACCACGGTCTCCTGGGATTCGCCGCTCTTGGCTGGAGGGGCGACGCGATCCACCCTGCGGAGTCCTGCTGTTGCCGTGGTGGTGGTGGTGGTGGTCGTGGCAATGACAGCCGTTGCCACGGCACAGGTGACGGTGGTGGACAGGCCGATGCCGGCACCAGTCTGAGTGGGGGTGGGAGAGGTGCCGACAACAGCAGGGTTGCTGTGATACATGGGGGGCGGTCCGGACAGAGGTAGACCGCCAGGGGACACCCGGCTAGGCATGTGTGCGCTGTTGTACAGGTGGTGTGTGTGTGACAAGCCGAATGACCTGTGGAAGGAAGTGGGGGGTGGCGGTGGGGACACACAGGGGGGAGGGGGTGGCTGCACAGGTGCCGACGTCGAAGTAGAAGAGGGCGATGGTGCTGACTGGGTCAGATTTGCCACCTCGCTGTCATACGAGGTGAGGCTGGAGGCCGTGGAGTC